TATCTCCATCATCTTTGTTAACTGAACATCCTCTAGAGGGATTACCACTCCAATTTGATATCTTTCAAAAGTAAAACACCACACACACATGTGCCCACAGCTACTAAGGGATGAAACCAAGACCTAAGCTAGACCTCCAGGAGACAGTGACACTGAAGCTGCCACACCTGCCTGTCACCTCCCAAAGCATAATCAGGTTTCCCAAGAAATACAGTGACAAAGTAAGCACCTTAGCTGCCACACAACTTCTGAGGAAAGGGAAGGAGAGCAGAGTCCGAGAACTGAATTCAGGGAAGTCCAACTGACCAAGAGAGACTAGCTGCTCCCGCATGTCCTCAGCAGAACCCTGTCCTGGCTTTGGAGCCCTACCTACCCCTTTGCCAACTGGACTTTTAAACTATACGTCACCTGTTTGTAGAGCCACAACAGGGTACAGACAACTGTGATGTCAGCCAGGGTCACACGTTCGCCCACCAGGAAAGTCCTCGTTTTCAAGTGAGCATCTAGCAGTCCCAGAATTCGTCTCACCTCCTCCTTGGCATTCTCTGTGGCCTATTGGATGTAAACAGACAGACAGTGGACCCCAATCCCTTTGTGCCCCCACACATACTGCCAGAAGGAAGGGAGCTATGTTGCTTCCTGAGTCCCGACTCACGCCCACCCTTTTCCAATGGAGTCAGATTCTGCGATTATTTCAATCAACTTCTCAGTGTTAATGTCTGCAGGGGGCAGCCTGGCCTCATTTCCCGATGTATCCATTAGGGTTCTAGACCCTGGGCTTCCAGAGGAACTTAAGAGTCCATCTGGTCTAACCACGTTGTCATTTGGTATAAACTTCCTCCAGCAGAAATCTCCCCTGACTACCCAAGACACCGATATTCCCTGCACCAGGTCTAACAAGAACCCCGATGCCTCAATAGTCTACTGTGCTCACTGCCCACGCAGTCTTTGGGAATCCTTTCCTCAACCTGTTTTACTTTTAACTTTCTGACACTTGGGAGCCCCTGGCTTCTCCCCCCAAGTCCCAAGGCTCACCTGCTTGTTGTGATGCATGATGCCCAAGGTGGGGAACACCCAGGTACTGGCTGGGGGGACTATGTCGCTGTCAGCAAAGCTCACCCACTGCACCACCTGAGCTGCTGTCTCGGGAGTACTGCCCCGTAGCTCCTCATTGCTCACTGCAGAGGCAGACCACACAGCTCAGGAACTGGGGGTCACACCAACACCAGCCCAGCACTGTCTACTGGAGCTCACCCTCTGCTGCCACACCCCTCACCTCCACAGCCTCCCATCCAACCCCCAGCGCCCCTGCAAATTACCATAGTAAGCAATGGCATTGCTTTCAAAGACGCAGAATCCATCATCACCCTCAAACGCTGGAACCTAGGAACAAAGCAATCCAAAGACAAAGTTAAATCCACTAGCCTGTTCCAGGAACTACATTGTTTGCAGGTAAGTTTTTTATATGTGTGAATGTTGTTACATGCTGTCGAGTCAATTCTGACTTACAGTGACCCTGTATAGGGTTTCCAAAGAACAGCTGGTAATTCTGAACCAGCAACTTTGGTTAAGTTCAATGTGTACAGGAGTTCTGATATGGTGCTGTAGGATAATCACTGAGCTGCTAACTCCGAGGTTGGCGGTCCAAATTCACCAGCTGCTCCTAGGAAAAACCCTACACAGACAGGGGCCACTGAGCTGAAACCAATGCAACAGCACTTAACTCAAGCATCAAAAACATTTGAGCAACATGGGGTAACCAGCTATTGGAGTTCTGGTGGTGCTGTGGACTGATGCACTGGACTGCGAAGCTGGTTTGAATGATTAGGTCTGCAGTTCAAGTTCACCAGCTGCTCCTCAGAAACTCTATATCGGGTTGCTATGGGTTGGAACTGACTCAAGGTGCTTAACAACCCAAGTGACTTGAATATTATTTGTACAAAGTCCTTCAACAGATTACAAGTAAAAGACTAGAGACCAAATCTGACATCTAAGTCTCCCCCACTCATTATATGGTACCACCCACAGAGCACTTGATCTCTTCTACCCACAGCAAGGAGTCCCTGTGTGGCACTGCACTGCAAGGTCAGTTTGAACAGCAACGACAGCGGTTCAAACCCACCAGCTGCTCCTCAGAAACACTATGGGCCAGAACCAATTCGATGGCACTTAACCACCTGTTGCACGATGAGCCACCTAACTTGGGGCAAGAACCCCACTCAGAGCAGATACTTAATATGTTAAGTGACATCAAGTCAGTACCACCTTGCAGTTAGCAGTCCAGGGATTATCCTTCAGGACTCCTATAAGCACTTAATCATAAGGAGGTTGCTGTTAAGTGCTGTCGAGTCGATTCCAACCCATAGCGACCCTGTATAGGGTTTCCGAGGAGCAGCTGGTAAGCTTGAACCGCCGTCCTTGCAGTCTGGCGCATTAGCTTGCAGCGCCACACCAATTCTTGATATAGTTAACCTAAAAACAACAGGTCATTCTCTTCCCCGCAGACAAAACAATCAGCCTATGAATTTTAGGGTCTCGTGATTTCTTACAACTCCAGGTGGGTCTCAAAATAAAAATGTCTGAAGCCACTACAACGTAAAGAAAAAAACCCAGGAAGCTTTCTTGTAAGGATGAAGATTTTCCTCCAAGGCCTGGGGGGATGGGGGGATTCTCCAAAACATGCTCTCTCCACTTCCATACTCACCTTGCCAGCAGGAAATTTGCGGAGAAATTCAGGGGTGCGGTTGGTTTGGCCAAAGTGGAAGTGGGGTGGTGCGGAGAGCACGCGGACCTGAGCCCCGCTGTACTGAGCAGCAATGAGGGCCTTGAAGGCTCTCCAGTTTTCAGGATATGTGTACAGGGTCTGTGGGAGAAAGCAGGAGGGGGAAAAAAGAATTGGAGTAGAAAGCCGAAGTCCTACACGCACCTCCCAGAATCACTGCCCTCCGAGTAACTACCATCTGTGCAACTCACTTTTACTCTAGCTGGCGAACCAAATGCTTTAGGACCTGGAAATTCCATGCACAGAACTGCACACCAACTGCTAAATAAAGCTTGGTGACAGATCTGACCTTTCCTAAGGACACCTCCAGACGCGTTCTCTTCCTTCAAATGAATCTCCAAGAAACCCAGCGCGTGTAGCTGACTTTGACGCCTGCTGACAAACACAGCCCCTCCCTCTCCATCCTAGAACCCTTCTTTCATTGATTGCTGGCTGCCGGGCGCCTGCCTACTCTACTGCGGCGCCGCTCTCCCCTCCACAAGCGAGATCACCCCAGTCTCTACGGCGCACACACACCCACCCAAGGATGTGCACAAGTCCCCTCGGACCTGCCCCGGGGACAGCGAATGGCAGCCCCTCGACCCAAATCAAGTCTTCCCGCTAAAGAGCCTCCCTCGGCGGTCCCGCAACCAGTTCCCCGCTGCTCCGGATCCTCCTTCCACGAAGCTAGACATCAGAGACCAGCTGGTCTGACTCCACAGTCCACAGCTTTCTTTCGTTCTCAAACTCCCCTTGAGACAACCCTCAACCGTGACCAGCCGTGTCTGCCCACCACAAAGACCCTCTCCTCGTCACCCTGTCTCCCACTGCAGCCCCCACAAAACGGCCGCCAAAGTTCCGCCCGCAGACCCGGGTCTCCTGCCTTCAGTCCTCAACGAACACGAACTTTCTTTCAAGACCCCCGAAAGCCCGGAGCCGACATCTCTTTTCTGCTCTACCCACGACCCTTCCACCTCTGGCCTCCGAGATCCCCAGCCTCAGTTCCCCTCTGGGCTCCGGGAGCCCCACTCTCCACCAGTAAGGTGTCCAAACCCCAGGTCCGTTCTCCACTCGACTCCAAAACCCCTCTGGCGCCCACTGAACACACTCGGACAGAGGATGGCGGCGGATAGGGTGCGCTGGCTCTCCAGAGCCGGCAAACTTACCCCAGCCGCCATGGTGATTCCGCAGAGAAAGGGGGTGGGGCGCTCGGAGCTGCCGCAAAGTACGCCGCCACGGGGAAAAAGGGGGAGGGCAAGGGGAGCGCCGCGGAGAAACAGCAGCCGGAAAGCAAGGACGACACAGACGGCCTACGCACGACAGTTCGGAATCCAGCCGCGGCTGAATTGGCAAAAGGGGGTGGGGCCTACAGGCCGGCCCGGAAAGGCTGGCGCCTGCGCACTAGAACACCATTGGTTGGTCAGTCGCTCAGATGTGACCAATCGCTGCCCCGCTAGGGCGTGGAAAAGGCTGAGGGAGGGACACCGGTGAGAAGCGCGCGGCTGGAAAAGTTGCTCTTTCCCAGCTACGTGGCACTGTTGGGAGCCAGAGGCGTCCCCCTGCAAACCCTGGAAGGAGGGACTCTGCCAGAGTCCCATGATTGTGACACGGGTGCAAGTAACAGCTCCCGTGCGGAGGTGGCAGTTTCTAAAAAGGGGCCTCAGTCTAACAGGGACCCAAGTCTGAAATCACCTGTAAATTGAGCTTTGCTCTCTTTAGATCATCTTGTAGCTCGGGGATGCTCCAGCCTGCGTCAGGGGAGGAGCTGAGAGAACCAGGAGACGGGGCTCTAACTCTGGGTAATTACCTTCTGTCGGATGGGTTGCCCTTTACCTCTTTCAAAATCTTTTACCCAATTTTAGAATAGGATGAACTCCTCAATGAGACAGTGGATAAAAAAATGAACTGAAATCGCGGGTCCTGTCGTGGTCCGTAAACCTTAGAGGCAGCAGATGAAATGTTGAGGCAAACGTGTTTCTTCTCACAAGGACTGTACCACCACCCTGCCAGGCACCTCACTGTCTTGGCTCCCTGCAAGCTGTGATGACCGGTATGATGGAAACAGGCTATTGAGTTGGTCAGAGAAGGCCCCTCTGAGAAGGGCATCTAAGTTTCCAGAGGGGAGAGGAGGAAAGGGCGTTTTGGGTGGAATGAGAGTTACCACCAGGTGGCAATTCAAGAACACTGCAGAGCACCTGCATTAAACTAGCAGCTTTATTGCCCATGAGCCCCCGTGGTTTCACTTGAAGAGTTGTCTGAGTGCTTGAGGGAGGAAAACCTGTAAGAAGTGGTGGAGCTCAGGGAACAGGCCCTGGGCATCCTGGAGCGGGGTCACGGTGAGAGTCTGGTCCACTTCAGAGGCGGAGACCACAAAGGTCAGGAGGGGCTCAGCCTCTGGCCTCTGCTCCCCACAGCTCAGTCCTCTCAGCTCCTGAGTCACCTGCGCCTCAGTCCCCAGCCACTCTGCTCCCGTGACAGCACCACCGCCACCACCTTCCTTGGTTCGCTGCTGTAAGCGTCTCCGGGCACGCCGTCGCCCCTGCCACACTCGGTGCCACAAGGCACAGCGCCAGCTCACTGAGGAACGTGCTGCCCCCTGGCCTGTCTCGCCCTGTGCCCTTCCTTGGGCTGCATCAGATCTCTTGGGCCCCTGCTCTGCCAGGACGACATGGCCCGGTTGGTCCCCATCTCCAGTTATCAGGGACAGCTCCCCTGGCTGCCCAGGGCTCGGCATGGCCCAGTCCTGCACTAGCTCGCCCACCTCTACAACCATTTCTTCCACCCCGTCTTCACTGTGGTCCCCTCCACAGCCCTGCTGCTCTCCCTTCCCTGCCTCACAGCTCCATTTCGGTGTGTCCTGTTTCAATCTTTTGCTTGTCCCTCTCTGGGGAGACTCACCAGCCCCACCTCCCTCTGCCCGGGCTCTCTTGGTTCCCTGCTCTATGTGGCACCCCAATGCTTCCCTTAACAACTGGACCAGGGCCGCAGTGAGCTGGGGAAAGGGAGCTGGCGGTAAGGGGACCGGTGTGGCCGACAGCAGGGAGCTGGGGGAGCTGGGCTGCACTAGGGGGAGCAGCCCCCAGTCCCGCCCCCGGGAGGAGCGCTGCTGGTACTGAAGACTTCCGCAGTAACCGGCTGCGGCTCGGCAACAGTTCTGGAGCCGCCCGGCTACCCGGCTGGTCACGTTGGCTGCCACATTGTGACTCAGGTCAAAGGGGTCCTGGAGATTCAGGGGGCCGAGGCGTAGACCCCCCCAGAGAGTAGCGGGCAGGCCTCCTGCTATGGGCAATGCCTGGCCCTCCCGCAGAGACAGCAGAGAGCCACGTAGATCCCAGCAAGAAACACAGGAGAAGAACTGGGCTAGCAGGGAACCTGGCAGGGAAGGACGGAGAAAAGAGGTCACGTAAAGGAGCTCTGGTAGCGT